CCAATGTGAAATGAAATAAGCTATGTGAAATATGAAATGACATATGAATATGCAATACGTGATACATGTGATATGATATGAAATACATGGTTACACATACATGTGGTATGTGACAGAAGAGAAAGAACAAGTGATGAGAAATATATTCATAATAAATGCCCATAGTATATGATACGAAAGTTATAGGTATAGTTGGCATGCCAAGAGTCGAGGGTTACATATGTCTTATAAGACATATGATAGGTCCTACGGGACACAGATTACATCCTTCAGGATGACAGGTCATTCGGGACACAGATGGCATCCTTCGGGATGATAGGTCCTTCAGGACATTTGTACGAGCTGTGGTGACAGCATAAGTGTGCACAACCTCAGTGTACTCGCATACCTCTATTCTCAATAATATACATGGGCAATACAATTGCAAGATAAATTAAAGTGAAAGTGATACAAGAATGTAAGTTTCACATGTGCATGACATGATTTATATATATGTCATATTGAAATATATACATGCATATTGAAATGTTATGATTAAATGGTAAGAATGCATATTCGTGAAATTATTGTTACATGTTTATTTATTGCCTCACTAAGTCTATGACTTAGAGTGTAAGTGATTTACACGTAGGTACCAAGAAACGAGAATAGCAAGACTAGAAGTGGCAAGGACAGTATTATTACTAGAAGATCAGATCAGAAGTAATCGACAAAGTATGTATTTTGGTGTGTATAGAGTGTTGGCATGTAATAAGTCGTTAATTACGAGTACTCTGATGGAGTTTGTATTTTGTGGTCATTTTTATGTAAATTAACGTATTTTGCTTTAAACAAAGTTTTAAATTTCTCTGTTTTTCAAAAGAGTCAAACTTTGAAAAGTCAATGTGACACCTCGGACTTGTATTCGGGTCGGGTACGGGTTGGGGTGTTACAGGAGATGTCCACGGCTATATGGACATAACGATGAGAACCAAATTCTTGTCAGTGAGATATTTGTGTGATGTATGGCATCGCTTACACCAACGACAGGATAGTTCAAGGACATCACGCCTACATATCCTATGCAAATATCGAACGTAAAATCTATCACCATATCGAGTCAGTGTTTGAAATCATCAATTTTAGTCATATGAGGGATTGTTGGAAAAATAATGGTTTAATTGAATAAAATTGATACTATTTATAATAACTGGTGTCACTTGGTGAATAGACTTATTATAATAAGTCATGTCACTTGGTGAATATACTTAATTTTTAGTTGCATCCATTCAACTATACTTATTAGTTTTTCAACAATTCTTTTTATGAAATGTTTTAACTATTCATCAAAAGATCCTAACATTTTGATTCATATCCACTCACCTATAAATAAGTTAGTTGAGGCAAAATCTTATACACAACATAAGTTACAAGACACAACACACAAGTTACAAGACATAAGTTCAGAACTTTGGATTAGGAAAACACTTAGAAAATTAACTTCAAATTTGTTTTTTCCGGTGATAGAGAAAGGCAAGATTGTGTTCGACTAATCACTACGGTTGTGCTTACTGTTGTGATCATTTGTTGTTGTATCCTGAGAGATCAACGTCCAACATTACTCGAAACACCTAGGAGAGGACGATTACGTCTTTAGGAAATTGTTCATACATGTCTCAACAAATATCCTTCTTCGATTTATTTTACTCTATTCATCCAATTCAGTTTCTAAATATGAGTAAACCAATTTATTGCCTCTACTTTAAGCTTTATTTATTTTGCTTTGTTCAATTATATAATAATATTTATTATTATTATTATTATTTAATCTCAGGTAAACGTTTTTTCTAACATCTACTACTGGTAGTCATAATGCTAGATCAAATTATAATATATGCTATGCAAGTAAGTTGATTTTTATCTGTTTAATGGTATTTAAGATCTTTAATTTTATTTATAAAAGAGTAGCATAAATCCCGAATTATTTTTATATTTAATATAGTTTTTATATTAAAAAAATTAAAACGACCTTTTAATCTATAAAAATAATTGTTGACCAACTATTATATTAAATTATGCTGACATGATATATTAGCATATTATATATTGCCGTTTAATGTAGGATTAGAAGCTGACTTGACATTTTTACTCAATTTCCATTTTTATACCAATATGCATGTTGGTATAAACACCAATATCGATTTGGCTTTCTCTTTGGTATAATAATAACCTAGTTAATCCAATTAATGTTTTGGGTTAACTATTGACGACATGTTAATTTCGCTCTAAACAAACAAACCAAAAATAAATAAATAAAAATGGAAGCAAATGTGGTGGTTTCAAAGCGTCAAGTAGATCCCGTCATTGCCAAATACAAACTGGTATACCTTGTATACTAGAATCTGGCATCAACAAGAGCAAAGTAAAACAATGATTGGGATTATTTGGTAGGCCAATAAATGAAGCTGCCGACGTCGTAAAGCCAGTCTATATATCGTTTTCTATCTTTACGCATCGTGATATGGAATTGCATAACAAAAGGCTTTTTAAAGATACGGTTTGGTTGGTGCCAGACCAACAGATCTTCAGCTTGGTCAAATCTTTCCACTCCCACAAAACCATTTTTTTCCAATATTTGTTAGGCATCCGAGTATTGTAACAATGCATTTGGAAGCAGTGACCGATCTATGTATATTTTAAAGTAGATATGTGTATATTTTGAAATTTAAATTCTTTTATATTAATTATTTATTTTACTAATGATGTTTACCTTAAAATTTTATTTATGTCCATCTCATACAAAAAACTTATATTAATAATATATATATATATATTCTGAAAATATTTATGAATCTACTACTATTTTAAAGATTTTTTTTTTCAAGTTTAACATGAATGAAAAAGGGGTAGTTTCGATAGAGACATGGACAAAACTACTACTTAAATAATTTCCCAAAAAATGCAACTATTGAATATAAAAAAAATTAGCTGGCCTTATTCCAATATGTAATGGGGTAAGGAGAGGTAGGATAATAGGCTGCCCCCAACGTCAGGTTGAGAGCAGCTTCCATGGGAGACCTCCGAAAATTCGAACTATTGAATATAAAAAGATTTAGGAATTGATCCAATTCCTGGATTAAGAGAGAGAGAGAACAGTGGTAAATGAATAAATTGGGCCCCTTAAAATCTGGGTAAGAAAGATAAGGTTCCAGTTGAAGTGATGTCGCGAAAAACAAAGCCCAAATCAACCACTTTTAGAGGATATTTTCCTGTTTTTCTCGAGGGGAGAAAAAACAAACAGACAAAGCTTCACATTCCTTTCTAGAATTATAGTCTCTCTCTTCTTTGATCTTTTGGTATCCAGAGAGCAAAACGATCGGAGTGTTTATTCTCGAAGAAAATATAGACGCCTTCCCTAAACCCTAACCCTGATTATAATCCAATGCCGATTCATTTCATTCATGCTCGTCTTTTTCTTTTTTAAATACCACTCTCTGTTTTCGTAAATTTCGTATATTGTCATTTCAATTTCCTGTAGCTTTTTCTGTTTTTTTGCGATCGAAGAATTTAAACACTTAATCCGGAAATTACGTTTTTGCAATGGAAAGATTAGGACATACCATCCGTAAAGCAGTCTCGAAATCTACATGGAAACCTTTCCATGTCGCCCGCAACGGTATCCCATTATCCCATCTTTTCTTTGCTAGCTCAACAGTGCATCACCTTTAATATAAAATTAAAAAATAAATTATCGGTTTTATTATTATTTAAATAATAAAACTAATAAAAAATTATTTTTAACTAAAACATCAATATTTTTTAATATTTCCGATAAAATATCTAACAATAACAAAATCGGTAACGTTTTATCGGTTAATATACAATTAAAAAAAGTATTATCGGTTTTGTTATTATTTAAATAATAAAACTGATAAAAAAATTACCTAAAACATTATTATTTTTAACTAAAACATCAATATTTTTTAACATTTCCGGTAAAATATCCAACAATAACAAAATCGGTAGCGCTTTATCGGTTTTATTAACAAAACCGGTAAAACACCTAATAAAAATAAAATCGATAGAAATAATAATGTTTTCGATAATTTTTTATCGGTTTTATTATTTAAATAATAACAAAATCGATAATGTTTTTTTTAACCGTATATTATGACAGTCGCATATGATTATTTCCCACGACCTCATACTCTACGCCAAGGCAGACACTGAATAAGCAAACTTAATATCCTCAATCCTCTCCGATTATGATTTATACTCGGGCCACAAGGTAAACTCTCGCAAAACCCAAATCTATTTCTTCCCAAATACCGAACACGAAACAAGAGATGCCATATGCAAATCAATGGGATTTCAACAAGTTGACACTTGACACACTGGGAAAGTACCTGAGAGTCCCAGTCATACACCAACGCATCATATGCTCTGATTATGACTTCATCCTCGATAAAATACGCTCAAATCGGCGACAACTCTATAAATGGCAGGCCGCATAACGCTTGCTAAATCAGTATTGACGGTAATACCAACATACTTCATGCAAACTGCCAAGCTACCAAACCAAACCAAACCTGTGCAGAAATAGATAAAATCATAAGAAGGTTCATCTGGGGGAAATACCATTAGTTAACTGGAAAACATGCCAACCCTTGGCAAATGGCGGTCTCGGTTTCCATCAATCACTAGAACATAACAGAGCTTTCATCCTCAAAATCGCCTTTGCAATCGTAGCACAACCCATTGATTCACATGTTCCATCAAAATAATGCTGAAATACACGTGTCTACAACCTATTTTTCTCTCCATCTAAGCTTCCCGAAGGCAGAGAGGTTTCTCTCTGACTCGGTTCCTTGTTTTGCTCTCGGCCATTGCTATTGCCAAATTATTAAGTTCACGTTCACAACAAATCTCCCAAATAAAATTAAAAAATAGAAAAAGATCGTTTTCTTTTCTTCCCAAACCCTAAATCTTACCCGATTAAATCTCGTTTCTTTATCGTTTCTTTATTCATGGTTATCCCCAAATTTCATCACTTTTGATATCCCCAATCATTTACCATACCCTCTTGCTCCATCTCTAAATTTTATGTCATGGGTCATCAACAGCATGATCTTTCACCGATTCTAACTCAGAAACCTTCGAATCCCTACGATCTCATAAACCGGTACTCGGTATGGCTCGAAATCCGTCTCTTCTACGTAAGGATCGCGCCGTGCGTTGTCGATAGCGTCCCCGACCACCTCACCCTCTTCCACCTCCGACGCGAGATCGGTGTCTCCCTCGAAATCAATGGCTCTCGTGTCCCGGCCTCTGATTCCGCCGCCCTTACCCTTCGGCGCGATCGTCTCAACCGGGAAGCGTTAGAGGTCACTTATTTGAGCACCGATAGCGTCCGCGTCACGGGCGGGTTTGAATTCGAGGCGTACGAGGATGAGAAGAAGGTGTTGTTGTGTGGGTCGTTGGAAAGGATGGAAGGAGAGTGGAGCATGGACTGTTATCTGGCGGCAGTTGCTACGGAGCCTGGGAATTCGGCTTTTTTTCAGCCCAAGATGGGTGTTTCAGCGCCGGGGATTGAAGTTTATATCGCGGGCTGCTGTTCTGGTACGCCTGTGATATTGACCAAGAATATACTTGTGAGCCCTAAGAAGAATGGCGTGCCCAGACTTAAATGGATGTTGGACGCAATTCCTGAGGATGAGGAGCTCGGGAAAGGGGATGATAAGGGGGGGAAGGGGTTGATTAGACAGCGGAAAATGAAGGTAAATTATAATTTGTTTTAATGTCAAATTTTAAAATTTGATCGCTATTCATAATATAGATGTAAATTCAAGCATGGTAGAAGAAGATTGTCATTGCGTGAGAAGTGTTGATTGTTTAAAAAGGTTACTTCTGGTCTTAGCGTACGAAGATAATTTATTGATTATAATTCGATTATGTAAAATGCCATGTTTGTGTTGTCTATATTTGATGGAAAGACTATCTTCATTCCATATGGAAGGCACCAGGTATATATGTATCCAGATGGTTGTAGGGGTGTAACTATGTTCTACCTGTTTTCTTTGTTGTTGTTATGAGGATTGGATCCTTGGGGCCGTTTATCAGAGTGATTTTGGGTATTGTCAGCTGTTTTGAGTTCAACTTTTAGGGTGAAAATATGATCATGTCGAGTTTTGTAGGAATAGTTTGTTCTGATTTCTGTACTTTCCCATCCAAATTTGTCTCCTGGACTCACTTTTAGGGTGAAAACATTATCTTGTCAAATTCTGCTGGCATAAGAACAACTGTTACATCTCATGACGACACAGCTCTGTAAATGACAATTGGAATAATGAAATGTGCTTGTTTAGTGCGTTCAAGAAAATTCACACAAGCTTCTATTTTATTTTTCTCTTGCAAGCCAAATTGTTTATAATTCGATGTCTTGTTATCACTTTTTTTACTAGAAGGTAAAATAATCATTATGGTGCTGTACAGGTTATAGATGCTGAAGTTGAAAATTATGTTTCTGATGGGAAAATTGGACATAGTTACCATGCTGAAGAAATGTATGCTGGTGAGGATGGCCAACTTTCATGGTTTAATGCCGGTGTTAGAGTTGGTGTTGGAATTGGCCTTGGAGTGTGCCTTGGGGTTGGAGTCGGAGTTGGACTGCTAATGCGATCGTATCAAGCAACTACACGGAATATCAGGAGGAGGTTTTTCTAAGATGGATCTCTTCACCTATCGGTGCGATATGTTTTATATATAAAGGAGAAGGATATATTCCAGGATTTTGATAGCAGTCTGGAAAATATCAAGTTTGCTGGCCAGAAACTAACGAAAAGCTCCACAATAGCAACTCAAAACTTATAAATGTGAGGTACTGATGGGTTCTGGTAAATTGATGGAACTTATTTGCTTAGCTTTTTCAGATATGAAATTGCTCGAGAATCTGCTAACAGCTATAGTATATACATACCTAGACTAAAGATTGTAAATGTATCGTTTTTTTAAGTATACCTTGAGGCTGCTGACGTTTATGTACTTGTTCAGCAGATGGTTTGGTGCGAGGCTTTCAGTTGTCATCCACGAAACACTATCTAGGTTATCTATATCCTGTAGAAATTTGGATTTGGATGGTCTGTGAGACGGTCATATGCTTGTTGTCATTGTAGGTATTATAGAAGGTCTATGTTATGTGTAAAGTTTCAGCAATTCTTGGATTCAATTTATGAGTTGCTAGCTTGTGAGCTGTCTGCTGCTTTCTGAGAAGTAAATAAAGCATATTTTTTAGCCCATTTTATATAAACATTGATTAAAGATAAAAGACTTGATCGAGCCATGTTTGCTTCAATAAGTAGGGGATGTTTGTTATTAATTCCTACTTTTTGATAATATATGCACAAAAGAAAATTTGGAAGCCCTTCACGATCTCTATTACCTTGGGTGATCAAACAGGGGGAAAACCGTTCCAGTTAAACTTGGGGAAAAATACAATTTAATTTCTGCATTATAGACCTGAGTAGTTTAATTATTGCACAATCTTCTAAATGCTCTTTTTTTATATAAAAAAATTCAGTTAAAGCTGTTGTGGTTAACCGAAAGTTTATCAAATTAAAATTTGATTTTTTTTTATAAAAATTATGCATTGAATTTCTCTTTAATGAAGAGGAGTTTATTAAAATGAAGAAAACAATCTTGAATCGTTATGTAAACGTATTCGAGATTCAGAATCCCCAAGGGCAAACACATAAGCCACTTGCAAAAAGAGCATTTAGAATCTAATGTCAAAAATTCATAGCATAGTCTAGTACAAATCTAATGCGATAGGTTGACTTAATTTTTTTAAAATAATTTGATGATTTAAAATCTTTTTTAATCGTTTATAATGCATACATCTTATAGACGTAATTACTTGAATTAATAACTTAAGAGAGAACAATACTCTTTTAAAGTATATATATATTTTTTAAGTTTGAAAAAGGAATAGTAATTAAAATAACAATACAAATGAAAGAGGCCACTTGAAACGAAACAAAGGAAAATTAGAAACACCCAAATCTTCCCTGAAGGAGAAAGCTTTAAACGAGTGATGTTCAACCGTAGGAGGGAAATTCCTGTAAGGATCTAAGGAGCTACAACTAACAACCACGATAACACGAGATGCTTATGCAGTCCATTTCCCGAAACTTTGGCCCCGCCAAATCCCCAAAATTACACCCGTAAAACCTATCCACTAACCTCTAACCCCCAAATCACAATAGGATTAGGACTGTAAATAAGACGAGACAGATAACGAATTACTCTAGATCAGTTCGATCAAGGTTCGATAAATATTCGGATTGAGTGGACTCGGCTCGAATTCTTAACGAGCCGAAACGAACTATTCGATATTCGACTTGAAAAACTCGTTAGCAGCTCGAAAATATAATATATTAAGATTTATTTTTTTAAAATAAATTATTAATAATATTAATATTTATGTATCGATTTTTTTTAAAAAATACAGTAAGATTTTCATGTATTTAAGTTCATGTATTTAAGGTTAATGTTCGAGTTTGAGTTTAAGACTTTAATCGAGTTAAGTTTAAGAATTTTTTTTTTCATTTCTAGCATTTTCGAGCTGCTCACGAACTTTAAGTCAGGATTTAGAGTTCGAGTCGAACTTGAAAATTTTAAACTCGTGAGTTTTCAAGTCAAGTCGAGCTTCATTTCAAAGTTTTCGAGTCGAGTCGATTTCAGTAATACTCGAGCTCGACTCGGCTCGTTTACACCCCCTTAGGATGGACATCACCTCCAACGCTACGACCTCGTCTATGCTCAGAGCCACTCCGGAATGTGTCACCGCAACAACCCTGCGCCTCTCCCTCTGGTCGTTTCCCTCAACTGTGTCGAAGCACTAATAATAACTTACTCTCTTATCTACTCTGGGTTGAAGCTTTGTGATAATTGTTTCAGAATTTGTCATCGGAGTGCATCTCAAAATGAACACTGCCACAAATAGCTTAAGCAATTTTTTTTTATTGAACTATGAAAGAGTGAAGCACAATATATAACTGCATTGCAAATTCCTGATGTAAAGATCTTAAAGTTATAGTCTCTTGTAACATATTATTCAGTTGTATCTTATTAGGTAAACTGAAGGAGGATAACGGATCTGTTGCAAAATGAGCTTCATTAATGTTTTTAGTGGTATATATGCATGCCTTATGTTGTGTACAAGGTCTGTTAATTCAAAGGCACACCTTTTGGGTTTTACTAGTTAGCGATTTATTTGTTTGCCTGTCATTCTGTTAGATTGATTTTCCATCAGAATGAAATTCCCTCTGAATATTGTTTTCACAGGAGAATGGAAAAGTAAGTTGGTCTTCTGTAACATTCCCACCAGCTGTCCGTAGAATGGATACGCTTAATGATTTACTAGCTGTAAGTGACCTTATATCGTTTCACTGTGATTTAACAAATGAAACCATTCAGATTATCAACGATGAATGTTTGCAGCATATTAAACCTGGTACATTTGCTTTCAGTTTTTGTTTCAGAAATTTATGATTCCTTCTCTTTTCCTTTGTATGAATTCGTTTCCTTTTGGGATAATTGCCTTTAGGTGCTTTTCTTGTGAATACGGGTAGCAGTCAGCTCTTGGATGATTGTGCATTGAAGCAGCTTCTGATTGATGGCACTTTAGCTGGTTGTGCCCTGGATGGTGTTGAAGGGCCTCAGTGGATGGAAGCTTGGGTATGATAAAATGTCTTATGCTATGAATTTAGGTTTTCCTGTGCTATGTTGTTTCCATAGGAAGGTAGTGGTTACTTAAAAATGTGTGCATAGGCCAAATTGGTTTTTGTGCTTTGGAACAGTGAAAAGCTATTTGCGCTTGTTGTCAGGTTACAAGGCCAGCCCTCTAAATGAGATCATCTTTGCAATAGGTTTTTGTTTCTGTTCTGAGATATACCCGATTCCTTCCATTTGCCATAATCTGTCATTTAAGTAGACTTCTGTTCCAGTACATGCAAATTCCAAGCGTGTAGTTGGTTATGGTTATATTACAATTGGTTGGAAAGGGCATTAGAGAGGGAGTGGAAGTGTGGGGAGTGATAGAGAATGCTCAGATGAATCTTTTATAGTTCTGCTTCTCTTTCTCTCCTTTACCATCTTCATCTAAGATAAAAGAGTATTTTTCAGTTTGTGATTTGAAGATTCAATTTCAACTGTGTTGAGGAAGTATATTTTAATTTTATATTGCACAACTAAGATTACTGAAGATGTAACTAATCAAATTAGCATAACATCTTTACTTCAGTTGAAGGAGATGCCCAATGTATTGATACTTCCTCGAAGTGCTGATTATAGTGAAGAAGCGTGGATGGAGATAAGGGAGAAGGCTATTTCTATGTTACAAACATTCTTTTGTGATGGGTTTATACCAAAGGATGCAGTTTCTGATGAGGATGAGGAAGAAAGTGAAATAGTTGATGAAAAAGGACAGTTTAGCATACAAGAGAAGGAAAGTGCTTTGCAGGGATGTGGTGAACAATTGATTGATGATATTCAACAAAGTCCTGAAAGTTCCCGTAAAAAGGATACCAACCAATCTAAGGATTATCCTAATCAAAACCAGCACAGTTCCTTGTCAAATGATAATTTCTTTTGTGGTGGTTGTGCCTAGATACCATGTCAAATGTAACTAAAAGAGATCCTGCAGCACAGTTCCTTGTTGTCTACAGAAACATGGTTTGTTGAGAGGAATTTATCTTTTTTCCAGTTGAAAGTTTTATGCAATTTTTCCAGGACACTGTTGGTCTGCGTTCTTTTGCTGCTGGTGGGAAGTTGCTGCAGGAAACTTTACATAAATTTAGGGAGTGTCTTTCTAAGCTTGACTTCACTAAAAATCTTGATCTATCTTTTGATCGATTCTTAGCTCAAAAACCTAAGTGAATTGGTTTCATAAATTTGTTGTAAATAGTCTTTATATTTTTAAGGTCCCCGTGCAATTAATTTTTTTTGGGGGGTGAAATTCTCTAATTTATTCTACTGTAGTTGGTTTATGTTTTCTTTGAATTGGTGCTATGTAATATTTCTCAGTAATTCTTCTAACCTTGCTACCAATACCAGAGTAGTTATGCTGTAGCTTTATTTTTGGTCCCCAAAAGAGCATACTTGTAATTCTGTTGCAGTTCCCTTTAAATACAAAGTTGTAAGATCAAAAGCCACATCTTACCTGAAGAAAATAGACATTTCAAAAGGCAAAAAAATAGATAGATTCGGTGTCGATATATCTCAAAGAACGTTGCATCTTTGAGATACTAATTAAGTATGCTACCTGAGGCAGTTGTGCAGTGAGAATTCTTTATTTCTAATCCATTCCAAGTTTCTGCTTTTGATAAAGTTAAATTTTAATGCTCCACATTCTCATGTCAGATTAATAGAAGAATGGAATTCGTCTTTGCTAGTCACAGCTTTGATGTTTGGGAGAGTTGGACAGTGCAAGGTCCTTTAGAGGAATGTAGGCTGGTCAATTGCAGAAATCCTTCAGTATCTTCCTATCATTTCTGTAATCTTCAATCATTGTGCTGTCAGTTACGTATTGGGTGGCATCTATGAATCCTGCTGGGTTTTTAGTTTTAATTATTCGGAGCATTTGAGAAGGATTCCCAAAGTGGCCAGGCATCTGTGTACTGACTATAGCATATGATTGCCTTAATCATTAGCTATATCCCGCATTTGAAAGTGAGAGTCATATACCGTACACACACACATTCAACGCATTGTATTACACACACACAACACATTGTATCATTTAATAAGGGAAAAAAGAAGATATTTACATTTGAATGTCTTTCCATAGGTTGTTCTCCTTGTTATCTTCTTTCATTTTGATTTGGCTCCTTCACTTGAAATGGCAGGCAGTTTTGGATGTACGCATAGAGATTCTGGTAGCTGTGGGGGAGGATGATGGGATAACTCGGTGGCTCGATTAGGATGTCAACAGAATTAGGAGGCTAACTTTTCTATTGCCCACTTTCTATCTTTCCTTGTTTTGCTTAATCTTCCGAGGTTTTATTTCCCACAAATTCTCCAGGACAGACTGTAAAGCTTTCTATACTAATTTATTTCTTCTTTATTTTATCTTATTTATTTGTTTTCGGGTGGGGGAAGCATCAGCAGCATTGAAAATATTATTTATTTGGTGCAAGATAAAACTAAAATCTACGAGAAATAGATCAGAAATGAAGATTGAATAAATTGAGAAAGAGATAGCAGCATCACGGGGAAGAAGACTCGAGAGAATTTCATCCCAAACATTCCATAACCATCCCAAGGCAAAGGGAAGGATTTTAACACCAAATTCAAAACAATGACGTCTAAGCATTAAACCTTAAAACGACACCGTTGTACAAAATGAAAAACGGCACGTATCCCTGAACAAACCCGGCATAAACGAACGTGCGGGTGGGGGTTGCAAAATCCAGTTCTAAAGCAGGTAAAGAAATGAACCGTGAAGTCTTTCACATCTGGTATATGACACATTATTCTCTATATTTTGCTTTTCTTTTTAGTTCTTACCCTAATTTTGTTTCAACTGGAGCAACTAGAAAGTTCAACTTGGTTCAATCCTTCAGTTTGTTAAGAACTTGCTTAGAAGAATACACCAGACAGAGAAAACAAAAGAAAAAACAAAGGGGCAATTGCAACCAAAATGCCAATTTTAAGTGTGATAATGATCATTTTAAATACAGTGGGCCAGAGAAATCCCTCCAGAAATAAGAACATCAAACCCGTAATCACTTCTCGGAGAGAAACAATCCATTGGGAATAAGCCAAAACCACAACTAAGAGCCATTACCTATACTGAAAACCCATATCTAGCTCGTGACCATAAATCCCTTGGCCTTGGCTACGCCCGGATGCACCAAAAGGGCTAATCTGCTTTGACTTTGATCTGAGTTCCATCTCAATAAGCCTCTGCAATGCCTCCGGATGATGACTCCCACTGCCAACGTCATGACCTGGAATAATAAACAGACAATAATGTACATAATACAAGCTACCCACAATAGACTGCAGACAATTTCTGTTCGTTTTTTCAACAGAATTGGGGGATCCTGGATGAAGTAAACTTTTTGTCAAGTGCTAAAAGTTTAGACGTGGTAAGATCGAACTTCTTATATTACCTTATGCCTAAAAACATTAGGCAACATTTACTGTAGGCTTTTCCGAGAATAAAATGGGTTAGGTTTTCCAAATTTGAAATTGGCAAGGATGTGAAAGAAACAAGACATTAAATGATTACCCGGAGGCATCTCAGGACCAGCAAAGTTGGGTTGGTGCTGCCGGTGACCATGCCCCAATGGAAAACCATGCATCGGATTTAATTCTGGTAGCATACCAGTCATCCCATTATTTGAATGAGGTGGCAGCTGTGCAACACCAGGAAATCCTCGTTGCAGATTCGGTGGAGGGAGGTTTTCAGGCATCTGCATTTGCTGTAACATAGTATGATGTATTGGAGGATCAAATCCCGTTAGTCCACTGCTAGGGTGATGGACAGGACGAAGCATAGTTGCAGGAAATTGATGATTTAGTGGGGCATCATGATGGATGATGCCTTGTGGAGCCATGAACTTCATCTGAGAACCGATGTTAGAAGGATGTGAATCTAATGAATGAAACAAAGGACCTCCATGATTCAACTGAGGATGAATGTGTGGAGAAGACGCATGAATATTTTGGTTACGAAATGGAATATCTGGCTCCTTCATATCATAGGGCCCGGGAAGAAAAGGTGGACCTTCTTTCCCTCCTTCAACAAGTCTGTCATCCTGGAAGACGGCCTTTAAAGCTGCTAGTTTCTCAGCTACACCATTAGATGTATCTTGGGAGGGAAATAACTTTGCTTTTACACTACCAGTCAGGAAATTCTGGAGTTCCACGGGTTTACTGACACCAAGCAAATCATCCTCTTTGGGAAGCCCAATTTCAGATGATCCGTCAAAGCCACCAAGTTTAGATCCTAATCCAGCTCGGAGATGTGACGAATCCACTGCAGATGGATCACCATTAAAGCCTAACAAATGCCCTTCAATTCCATGAGATTTCATTTGTTCTATTTGAGTAAATGGGAAAACATTTTTTTCAAAATTAGTTCTGTTTGACCCAATGTTATCAGTGGAAGGAAGGAGACTATCATCTGCGACATTAAGGGGAAGCCTGTTAGATTCGAATACATCAACTCTTGCAGACTCTATTGAACCCCTCTGAACAGAAGGTGGTGCTCCAACTGATTGCAGTTCCTTCATGAAAGCACTTCCAAAAAGTGCTTCAAGAGTTAGACTCTTCCCTGAACCAGAAGCATTTTCTGCATTTGTGTCTATCGAATGACAAGGTGCCATGTCACCAGTCGGTGTTTCAGTAGCTTGCACCCTTTCTGAAGATCTGATGTCATGATTGGCAGATGATACTATAGTGTTCGTACTGGTTTTATTTTGTAATAATGAAAGAAGGTGCTGGGATGCATGATTGTTGACATTAACTTCTTGCTTCTCACATTCGGCATCAGGAATTTTCCATCTTTCAACAGGAGGCGAACTCGGATTATTTTCAGTGCTTTCCGACAGAATTGACTTTTCAAGATCCTCACATGTAAGTACTGCTGGAACCACTGCTGAGTTATTGACATCATTAATATTCCATGATTGCTCAGAGTTCACAACTCCTGTAGACGTCAAAATTGATCTAACATGCCTGTCCCCAAGTTCACAGATTTGAAATGGAACATGCTTAGTAACCATCCTATCATTAGAACTACCTTTCTCACTACCCTGAATTAATGAGAGCAAGTCTTTTGGCCTGTGAGGAGAGAGATCATCCATTGATTTCTTCTCTGCGAAGACAAGATCAAAACAAGAATATTAGATCCTAGTTTTTACTTGAGAACTAATCAGATTCACTTAAAGCCAGATTACATGTAAAAAACACCAACAAACCTTCATCAAGAAACAAATGAGCAAACTTAGAAGAATGGGAACTGTCAAGGGACCATGTCTCATCAGCATTGCTATCATTAGGCTGAAGATCAAGAGATATCAAAGGTCGTTAAATATTTCATCAAAGAAAACTAGAAGTGAAGGGTTTAAAATAAAGTTTCTAAAGAAACTACATGTAAATAAGATGTATAGGTCATTGATCAACCTAGTTTAAGTTACATTAAGGCTCAAGCAAGGGAATTAGAAATGAACATTCAACTGAAATAATTCAATGTTGATGTCTTCTATTTATGTGTTCGAATTTGAATGTGTCTCCCAAAACCAAAACAGTACCTCAGTGAAATTAGTTGAGCCACCTCCATCTGCTATTACAGCACTGCCAAAAATCTTGTTTAGGATTGAAGTTGAACCACCTTGGCTGGTTTCAGTCAACATTTTATCTGCTAGCAGCTTCTTGGAATCAAGTTCAGTAACTCCAATGTTTTCTGGGGGTGTAAAAACTTCTGAAAGACTAGAACTCTTGTATATATGAGAATCCTTGCTTATTGTCTCATTAAGTTTATCTAAAGCTGATGAGAAATTCAGAGCCTTTGCACTCTTATTATTGTCCAAAAGGTGAATGTTTTTACTTTCAAGCCTCTGCTCACTTGAAGTTTCCTCTTCACGCTGTTTAGACTGTTTGGCTGGAAGATCATCGGATATCCCATTAAAGAGAAGGCTACCTTTGGACTCCGAAAGGTGTCCCTCAATCTCAGAACTCCCAACCTATAGAAGCATAACAGAACATATATTGCTAATCAAGTAACAGCAAAGAACGTATGTGATAAATATGAAACACATCAGTCAGTATAATTGAAACATGTTTTTTCCTAACAAAATCATCTGTGTTACAAATATGAGAAGTACAACTACTGAATGAAAACCACATGCAAGCTCTGTCCAATCAGTATATTAACATATAGGCCAAAACAAGGAACAGAAAAATAACGTCACTTCAAAGTAGAGCACAATGCAACCTTTGTCAAATCTATACTTCCATTAAGTGACTAGAAAAAATAAATCATCTCTGTTATGTCTCAGTTATGCATGTGTACCGTTGCTGTCATACAGACATCTACTAAGTATAAAGCAACAAGTCTTTTCCAGTCAAATCCAAATTAATAGGGAAAATGTCCCAAAAATTCCCACTAATTTTAGTTATATATGGTCAATTTCATGTGCTGATCTCAAGTGATAAATTTGTCTCTCCCCATTCCAACCAAAATAATGGAAAATTCAAAATTGCCTCTATATCTTCAACCGATTCCCAAGTTTATTCCTGTTATGTTATAACTAGGGAAGCTGCCAGTACATGAAGATCAAATAGTTGATTCGATGTTGCAATTAAAGATCAAGTGATAGCAAAAAAGACGAAAACTTTGAAAACCAATTATTGACACTTACAATCAAAATTACATGCCAAAAGGTAAAAAGAGAACATAATAGGTGTTTTAAATTCCGAAAACCAAAGTGATACTTACCTGGGAAGAACGGGGGTGCATTGAAGTTTTTGTTCCAAAGTTCTTCTCCAAACCTGTACTTGCAAAACCAGGTGGTACAAGTGGTCTGGAAGCAGGAGTTTGTATGGGAAGAGACGATTTTTCAGAAACAATATTTGATGCCAGAATAGGTTCATCTGATTCCATGCTTCTGTTTGCAGGTCCATCTTTGGAGTCCACTAGCAATTCAGAAATATCAAAGTCATCTTTACGTCTTTCTGGATTAATCTTCTTCTCCTGGGATGCCTTTCGTTGTTCCTTCCTCCATGACTCAAAGGAAGCTAAGAGGGAAAGTCATAATGCTTTAGCTTTTATTATTTGAAAACAAAACCAGAGAAGTGGTAGAAGATAAAACACGTACAAAATAAACTACAATCAGCAGAGTTCTCCAGAACAGAGAGAACCTACCTCTTCTTTTTCTTTCCTCTTCTGCCCTATCTTCACTAGTGTACTCGGCGGAGCCAAATGTTTCATCATTAAACGAGTCATTAGTTTCCCTCCTTGAATGAGGTACAGCCTGGAAAAATATCAGCACATAAATAACATCTATTAAAATCATATTATAATTGCTACTGGATCATCTTACAATTCCAGGCAGATATTATTTAAGCAGAATACTTGAGATATATTTTAATGCTAAATTGAAAGAAACAGCCATCAAGATACCAGTCTCAATATTGTCTGCAAATGATAACAAAGACAAACAAGTACCTTATAAGGGCGGGGTGGATGGTATGGCTCATTACTTCTATTCAAATGGTATTGATCATTAGCTCGAAACTTTGGTGCAGAAGCTCCTGCTGTAAATCCAGATGGTCGAGGAAAAGAACCACTCCCCAGAAGCCCATCATGCTCAGGACCTTGCCAAGAACGCCGAGATTGACTACCATGGCGTCGTCCATGATCTATATACCATTAGAATCATTCAATTTCTAATGTAATAGAATTTATTGATTCTGTAAGCAATACATAAATGAAGTGGATAAAAACCCCAACTACAAGAATAGTTTTACCAAGCAACGTTGAGGTTGAGGCGATAGAGTGAATCACCACATGTATTAACAGAAAATGAAATGCAAAGTAGTCCATATACACAGTAAACACAAAATAGTACTGTTGATAGAACAAAAGAACTATAAACATTACCAGAGTCCAAATCAGATTGGGTATCACTGTCTCTATCACTCTTTCCACTAGAGCGACTGTCCCACCGTCCATGAAGACCCCGGGAATAATTAACCGATTCCCCTCTTGTAGGTGGTGATGAACTATATTCATTACGCCTGTAACCTGAGAAGGTGCCAGGAATTCTTTGCCGATCTTGTGATGTATCCTCAAAGTCACTGTTCGAACCACAAAATAACCAATGAATACTAAAAAGATCTAAGTTCGCCTTCTTCATCTTCATAATTAAATGAAGTCCATAATCCATGACCACAATCTCACCTCAAAATTGATTTATCGAATCCTGGGGGTAACTTTTTGCAAACATCCAGCTCACTCAATGATAGCAAAAATTCTCTGGTATATGAAATTCTATATTTCCTGAATCATTAACGAACAAATTGAATATCAGTGTCAATCAACCGAAAACATATGCAAAACATTAAACAAAAATTAATTATTCAGTAGAAAAAGTTATTACTTTCGAAATTCCTTGCTGGCATCGACAGGCGGACCTAATGAAGGTTGTTCTTCATTTTTTAAGCTCATTTCTACACAAATTCAAAGATGAGTATATACAGAATACTCTTTAAAACAGTTTAGCTCTAGCTGCCTCTCCAAGAAACTCACTGCTCAAGAACTCAAAATTTTGAATCTGCTAATCAATTCCCATACATCTTATCCCAAATGCTCCATAATCACAGCCTCGCCAAATCCAAAGTAAAAATAAAAATAAAAAATCAGCTAGTTTAAATGAAGATAAAGCTGATATTAAGCTACACCATTCTTTTATCAAAATAAATCTACAAATAAAACCCCCAAATACTTAAAACAAAATATTACAATATCACGGCCACCAGAACTTCTCTCCAGTAATTCCCGAGATCAAACACGATCAATCTTTTCGATCTGGATCAACAGGATATTCACGCAAAAGTCAGCACATCGTGAATATACATATCATTCCAAACATCGAACCCAATTAAAGCTCCTAACTAAAACCGAAATGAGAAATTATAGGGTTTTGTGCTAAGCTACAGGAGAAAGCTGGGATTTTGTTCTTCGCGTCGAAAATTTTAAAATTGAAGTCGAGCTACCTGGATCGAAGGAAGTGTGTGAGTGGAGAGAGCGCGAAAAAATCAGGGTTTGGATCTGTAAATTTCTCCTTTTTAGTTTTTTTTCCTATCCTTTTTCTTTTCAATTGATCGACGGAAAAGGAGAGAAAGCAATTTGCGTGTTTTTTGGGATGAAGAGAGAAAGTTTTGACTTTTGGGAGAGATCAGTGACCGGCAATGCTTCTCTCTCTCTCTCTCTGGCAATTTACTAAGCTAATACAAAACAAACGAACAAAATTAACGTAATCTCGTGATCTACACGCTCCAACTTCTTCACTGTATCATCTCACAAACAAGTAGTTTAGCTTACCGGTTATGGCGCGTGGAGAGATAAACTTATAAAAATGAAATTTATAACTAAAACATCATATGGATCGTGTTTTATATTAATCAGTTTTTGTTATTCTCAGGTATTAAAAATAAGTTTTTAGTATAAAAAATCAATTTATAAATTGTGTTTAATAGAATATAGGTATTTTAAATTTTCTAATATATGCTAAACCTATATTCCTAATATAAAATCTTGCTGTCAATTTTTTTTTTGTTGGACCTCAATGTCCTTCCATATTGCCACGTCGTTGATTGCTATGTTTTTTATTCCCCTCCTTAAAAGGCCAAACGCTAGGTTGATTGCTCGGTTTTGGTTGTTATAATCATTGTGCGACCATGCATCTTCTCTACATGCAAGAAGCTCTAGGTTGGTAGCTACTATTGTTATGCTTAAAAAGACATAAAAGGCATGTTTGTCGGAGCAAATGTAGCCCATGATGCAGAAAAAACCTGAACAAGAGGTTATATGCTATGTTATTTTATATTTATAATTCTTTTTAACGATTCAAAGTGATTATAATATAATATATTTATATTTTTTTAATTATTGACAATGTATATATCTTACATAAGTAGTTGATCGAACTCATAATCTCAATAGAAAACATCACTCACTTTAACTATGTTTTTTTGGTATATTTAACACGTATTTTGTATTTTATTTACGTTATATAAAAAATTATAAACATGTTTATAATTTTGAATAAAGTAACACCATAAGTCACTGAACAATGTTGGAATGACTGTTTAATAGTTTTTAAAAGTTTTGTGAGGAAAATGATCATTTTAGCGTAGTTTAATGACTTATGGTATATTTTATCCTATAATTATTTTTTGTGAGATTACAAAACGGAGAGTGGTAGTCGGGTCGAACGCGGGTATTAAAAACTGTAAGCGTAAGAGACCATTTATACATCGAAGAGACTAAAACCATAGCACAAACCCCTCCTATCGTCCTCTCTTTGGATTTGTGGATTCTTCATCAATACGACATGGCGTTTACGTGCATGGAAGCTGTTGTTGGTAAGCTTTTCTCCTCTTCTTTTTTCTTGTTTTTGTTTGAGCTCGAATCCATTTCTTCTGGTTGGTGAAATGAACTACGAAGCTCTTCTTTTTTATTTATATATAATTTTGAACAGATTAGTTAAAATATACTTTTTTCCCAGTTTCAATTAGTATCCATGCATATGAATGTGTTTTCTTGATTGACGGTGATTGAAAAAAATCTAGTTTTGAAATTAGCTTTTAGGCATCTTTCAAGTTTCTTTCTTTCTTTCTTCCTTTCTCTTCCCGTTTCACATCTATAAAAGATAAAGAAAATATCAAATATGTGGAAATGAGTTGCAGGTACTTCTAGAGATCTTGTTGGTGGAAACTGGAAACTGTTGGTTGAACTGAATATACCTTATTGGTTTTAGGGTCCAATGCTTTTTAAGATAAAGATTTTGAATCTCTGAATGTATGTATTTTTCTCTCTTTTGCATTTCACTGAAATTCAACTTGTTTGGGTTTCACTTTTTTATGTTTATTAAGGAATGTTTTGTGAAAAAGTACATGATACAGATTCTGGGACTGTTAATCACTCAGTTGTTAATGTTCTTAAAGAAAGTTTTGATCTTGATACTTGGAGTTTGTATGGTATGGTAACTATCAGTGTTCTGTTCTTTGTTTTCTCCCAGACTTACCCTCTATTATTTACAGGTTTTATGCTATTAATGTACCTCTTTGAAACTTATCTGGACTTCCGGCAACATGCTGCTCTCAAATTGCCAACTCTTCCGAAAACATTGCAGGGAGTAATCAGCCAAGAGAAATTTAAAAAGTCTCGAGCCTATTGTCTTGATAAGAGGTTGGTTTTGTTGTTTCTGTTGACCATTTACAGGAGTACATCATTAGGGACCAATCAAGCTTCTTTTTCACTTGATCCGATATTACCCTTAATGCATCTCTTTTACTTTCCAGCCATTTCCATTTTGTTCATGAGTTTGTGACAATCTTGATAGACGCTGCAATTTTATTCTTTGGCATATTGCCTTGGTTTTGGAAGGTGAGTTGTTTGGTGTTTAATTAGTGGATCCTTCTTTTTGTTGATTTTCACTATTATTTAATTGTTATTTATTGCAGAAATCTGGAAATTTCTTGCCTTTAGCTGGTCTAAACAAAGAGAATGAAATACTGCACACTCTTTCGTTTTTGGCTGGTGTTATGATATGGTCACAGGTTAATTCAAAATAATTCCTTTGACTTCTGGATTCATTATACAACCATCACATTGAATAAGATAGCATTGATCGTTTATTCTGTGATTTTATAATGCAGGTCACTGACCTACCTTTTTCTCTTTATTCAACTTTTGTGATTGAGGCCCGTCATGGTTTCAATAAAGTATGTATTCTTAATCACTAAACCTCTTTTCTATACCATTTTTCCATTGTTTCCTTTTTTTTTTGAAAAAAAAAATTCTGGGAACATTTGTTATTTTTAGATTACACTTATCTTTCTGTTCCTGACTATTTTCTCATCTCTTTGTCAGCAGACAATATGGTTGTTCATTAGGGACCTTATCAAAGGAATGTGTCTTGCTATTGTTCTTGGTCCACCCTTCGTTTCTGCTATTATTTGGATAGTACAGGTAAATTGTGCAAATTGCTGGTCCGTTGCTATAATAATCAGACAATTGTTATCTTAACAACAAGCCTTTATGATTTTATTCACTCTCTAATTTTTGATATTATGTCACCCTTCTCTCACCATGATGATTCTTAATTCTGAGATTGCAGGAAGGAGGTCCATATCTGGCTGTCTATCTTTGGTCATTTTTGTTTGTCCTTTCTCTTGTGATGATGACAATTTACCCTATTTTGATAGCTCCACTCTTTAACAATTTCACCCCTGTGAGTACTTCATAACCATCGTTTCATAGTTTCATTCAAGCTCCTTCTTTTCCCCAAGTCTTAATTTGTTTGTTTGTTTGTTCTTGGTACGGCACTGTGGGAAATAGCTTCCTGATGGAGAGCTCAGGCTTAAGATTGAGAAGCTTGCTTCCTCCCTCAATTTTCCTTTAAAGAAATTGTTTGTTGTTGATGGATCCACAAGATCAAGCCATAGCAATGTACGTGTCATCGGTTGGTTCACTCTGTTGTGTTTGTAAACGTTTTCATATTCCATCATTTAGGATTATGTTGTCTTTTTCTGCAAAACAATTTGTGTAAAGGTTTGAACTATAGTCTAATACTAATTACTTCTATCATCTTACTTTAAAGAGTCATGGCTGCTATGAGTGTGTGATATATACACACACTAGGAAAATTATTGTCATGAATTGTTTAATCTGGTGGATCATTGAGAATAAGCAAACTGTGTCTGTTTTCAGTTTGATACTATTTGTTACTTATTCACATTTAGACTGATTGTAGAAGTTGCTTTTCATCCCACTTATGATTTAATGTTTTCAACATCATGCAGGCCTATCTGTATGGATTCTTCAAGAACAAGCGTATTGTCCTTTATGACACATTGATTCAGAAGGTCTGGATCTAATACTAAGTAAAAGTTTCTTCACCTCTTGCGTGTTTGTCCTTTTCCTTAAGAATTTTTTATTGAACAAAGAATAGATGCAAAACATCTTTGTTTTTATTCAGTGGAAGAGTTGATACTATTGTCTGTGTGCATTCATCATCGTCTTCACTGTGAGGCACACAGGGCATCCTAGTAAAATGTATTAGGTCTTCATTTTAAACCTAGTAATGATGTTTTTCTATCAAAGCTATTTTCAGTGATTACAAAGTTAGTTGAAATCCCTGTCTTCTAATCTTTAGTTCAGAATCAATCAATTTTCAATCTTCTAACCTTATTTATTTATTCAACTATTGGGCATATGACAGTAACTTGTGCCTTTTTCATAATGCATATTTTACTTGCATAATAGGCACATTGTGTGCCAATCTCTGGAGGCTTTGAATTTGTCACAAATCTGGTCTAATGTTATGCTAGTAGATTTCTCTCTTAGCAAACAATCTTATTGCTTATATAGGAACTTGTACATAAGTTCATTCTATTTATCTTGTTTTTGAGGCTTTGGAGGCTTGCTCAACACTTTGGAAAAGTCTAATTTATTCGGTTTTATTTTGCAGTGCAAAAATGATGAGGAAATTGTTGCTGTTATTGCTCATGAACTGGGGCACTGGAAGCTAAATCATACCATGTACTCATTTATTGCCGTGCATGTAAGCTATGGTTGTTCTCTTGCGAGATTTTTTTCTCTCTCTGGAGATAAAAAAAAGGAAAAGAAAAACATACTCAGTCTTCTTTTATTTATTCTCTGAATAAATGATCACCATGCTGTGACTATATTATGGTTCATGGCTCTCGATTTTATGATATGGAGACGTAGCTGGGGATGTCATTAAACATGGTAGGCTATAATAATTTTCTGTTAGAAAATAATAATTTGTTTTGTAGGTCTAAAAGAGAAGTTATTGAGGTGTTTTGCTTACTCAGGTATAGTTTCTTTGGGCAGTCAGACCTTATGAAATGATAGTGCTCACTGAGCAAGATAATCATAATCCCATATCCTCCATCACTATAAAATATAAGGAAGAAGATGAAACCAAAAGCATGCGAGTGAGTCACGCAAACAGCCTAACCCTGTGAAAATAGCAATTTATTCTATTTAACATTTAGAACATCACCTGTTTATGTCATCATATTACGTCTGCCCGGTTTCTCCAGTTGGAAGCAGATGTGTCCAATTTCTGGCTTCAGTAACTAGGTCCATGCCTTTATTTTGATGTTTGATTTATTTTTCTTCCTTCCATATGCAGATTCTTACGTCTTTTCAATTCGGAGGTTATACACTGGTCAGGAACTCAACAGATATTTTCCGAAGTTTTGGGTTTGACACACAGCCTGTACTAATTGGCCTTATCATATTTCAGGTACTAAAATATCAATGTACTAGCAGTTGAAATATGTAGTCTAACAATGGGATGTACTATAATACAAGTATAACTAAGCTAAGTCAAGGCTGCAGACACCTTTTTTAATCTGTTTGATTATAGGTATTCATTGATGGAAAGGATCTGTTAAGTATTTAACAATTTTTTACCATGTCTTATGCAGCATACTGTAATACCTTTTCAACACCTTGTAAGCTTTGGTCTCAATCTTGTAAGCAGATCGTTTGAATTTCAGGTAACCTTTTTTTCTGCTGTAAATGCTCTGATGATTTTTTAGTTGTAACCTTATAGATTGATCTTAATGTTTCGTATTTATTGTTTTACGTAGGCTGATGCCTTTGCAAAGAAGCTTGGCTACAGGTCTTCTTTGCGTGCCTGTCTAGTGAAGCTGCAGGTGAATTTCTAGTCATTTTTACTTGGTGGTTTGAATCTGGATCTACTATGTCGTTTCGAATATGAACACTGCTTCACTGTTGTTAACTACTAAAGGCAAAACAGTTCACCTCTTTGGTGCATGTTACTGGTGTGACTATACGTGTTACTGAGTTGAGAGTTTTGGGTGCATAACTTTCAGGAGGAAAGTCTATCGGCTATGAATACGGATTGGTGGTACTCTGCTTATCACTATTCTTATCCTCCACTCGTCGAAAGATTGGTTGCACTTGACGAAGCGGACAAGAAGGAAGAGTGAGATAGGGGAGGCGGAGAATACAAAAGCTGGGGTTGAATTACTTCATTTGATTGTAATATTTTTGTTCGTTGATCTGTATCGAGTTGCATGGCCTCCTCAAGTTGTCACTATTTCAGGCACTTGAGAAGAAAAAGAGGCACACTTAGGCAGAAACCTAGTTCAATAGGAAGGAACTAAACAGCACATATGGAAGAGTAGACGAAAGTATTGAATGCAACGAAACTTTTATCGACCATTAACTTGTACTGAACTACTAATGGTTACACTGTGTACTGCAACTCCAGCTACAAATATAAGATAAGATCTCATTAAAAAAATTAAAATATGTATCAAATTTCAGATCATTTCTCATTCAATCAATTAACAAAACAGTTGTTCAGCAATTGGTGACAAACACTTGACTATTCCCAAATCAAAATTTTATTAGAATTTCAACTTGACTTGTAAAATATATTGTACTGAGATTCCTAAACAAGGTTTTTTTTATTAGTTGTGTTGTCAAATTTAAAGGGGGATAATATCATGATATTGTTGTTGTTGTTGTAATTAGAGAGTGCTTAAGATTTGTGTGACGCAATTCAGCAGAAGGCTGCTGTGTTTTGTCAATTAGCTGCGGTTTCAATTTTAATAGCTTTTTATGTTGAAGCTGAATATGAAAATGAAATTATTGTTTTTAATAATAATATATTAACGAGATTCACTGAAATTCTCATCAATCATCAGCCGGAGTTTTTTTTTTCTTTTATAAATATATAAATAAAATAAAATTGAGAGGTGAGATTGAGACTTAGTCTTCTTAAGCTTTGCTTAATCAGTCTCACCTCACCTCACCTCGCCGGATTATCCCATTGCATCACACTTTGACTGGGGACGTTGCTATGCAATCTTATTATCATCTCCCTCCCGTAGCTAGGGACGATTATAAAATCGTATTTTAATAGTAGTATGTTTATCGCAATTACAGTGATTATTATAAGTATCGTAGTCGTACAATAATAATTTTAAATGATTTTATTATCCTTATATAAAAGCAATTATTATAACTACGAGTGCATGCGCCAGCGACACGGCCTCGTTGGGGAGTGGAAGCGTGGGGCAGGAAGTGTCTCATCTCGGTTGGGGGAGATGGTATACTCTGAGGGAACTTGAGCTCGCTACGAACGGATTGTGTGAAGAGAATGTGATCGACGAAGGTGGCTACGGAATCGTTTATCGCGGCTTTTTAACCAACGGAGCTAAAGTTGCTGTTAAGAATCTACTTAATAACAGGGGTCAAGCTGAGAAAGAATTCAAGGTGGAGGTCGAAGCAATCGGCCGAGCACGACACAAGAATCTCGTGAGATTGCAAGGATATTGTGTTGAAGGAGCATATAGGTACTGCAATTCTATGAAAGCAAAGGCTCGTTTCCCTTTTCCTGAAATGTGTGAATATAAGTGACTTATTATCTGTTTTTTTATGCTCAGGATGCTTGTATATGAATATGTCGGCAATGGCAATTTAGAACAGTGGCTCCACGGTGATGTCGGAGATGTCAGTCCTCTTACATGGGATATTCCGATGAACGTCGTACTCGGAACAGCAAAAGGGTACATTGCTTTGAATTCTGTATTTTTTTTATATAGTGTAATTATAAGGTAATATCTTGAATTATGTATTTCACTTACTATGGTTCTTGTTTGTTCAGAGTATTTATTGCACTACTTTTTGCAGTTTGGCCTACCTTCATGAGGGTCTTGAACCAAAGGTCATTCACCGGGACGTAAAAGCTAGCAACATCTTACTCGACCGCCAGTGGAACCCTAAGGTTTCCGATTTCGGCCTTGCTAAACTCTTGTGTTCCGAAAGGACTTACGCGACGACTCGAGTGATGGGAAAGTTCGAGTTGGTTGATTTCCATTTCCGGTCTTGCAAAAAATCAATATTAGTACATATTATGAATGCATATGTGTATTTCAGCTATGTTGCTCCAGAATATGCTTGTACCGGAATGCTGAACGAGAAGAGTGATGTCTATAGCTTTGGAGTACTAATTATGGGGATTATTTCCGGAAGATGTCCCATGGACTATGTGATGCAGGGGGATCCGAGACAGATGATGCTGAGCTGTCAGATTGCACCTTGATGGCGCCGAGATACCATGAGTTGGCAGATCAGCGCAAAGGCGGGAGTTGATTGTGATATGTTTCTCATTAGGGCCGTTTTGAGTGTGTTTCAGTCTTTTAGCCATAACTTTGGCTACGGGTTTCGGAATCGCGCATAAGACCCCAATTTGGAAAGCCCCTTTTGACGCGCACGCTGTCCACATTGAGCATGGCTCTATGTGGCATTTTTTTCGACCTCAAATTCTGCCGTTTTCTCCTCCGAATCACTATTTTTATTTATTTTTTACTATTTATGGTAATATTTCGCTTGTCAGTTAGGAAGTCAATTTAAATACGATTTTGGCCGGATTTTTTTTACAGATTGTTTATTTCATTTCGAATTTCAATTTAGAGTGATTTTCGGGATTTTGCTATTTTTGGTAAAATTCGGATAAACATGATTTTTTGACTATAACAGTCCGGCTTGTGGACTGATTTTGGCATTGTTTGATTTTATAATATTTCGTTAAACCCTAGAGACTGGTTTTCTCTGGTTTTAGGTGAATTTTCTCTTGTGAATCATCTGTTGGAACCAGCCTACAAGATAATCGCTATCCTGTCCGGCGTCACTATGGCCGACCGCAAGGAGAGGTTAGACTTTTCTAAATTTCATCATCGACTAGTCTAGAATCACAGCTCCTAATGTTGCCAAGTTGAAAATGACTCAACTACTGCAGGTGAATTTGGTGGAATGGTTAAAAACCATGGTCGGAAACAGAAAATCTAAGGAAGTAGTCGATCCTAAACTACCTCAGATGCCGGCTTCAAAAGCGCTTAAACGCGTACTACTAGTTGCTCTTCGATGCGTTGATCCTGATGCATCGAAGAGACCGAAAATGGGACATATTATCCACATGCTCGAGTCTGATGATCTGCTATTCCACGATGTAGGCACCATTTTTGCTGCATACTATATAGACTAACATTCATGGCATCCAAAAAGGGAGGTTTGATGTTATTTTTCTTTGCAGGAACGTCGGATTGCGAACGATCAATCCAATGAACAGCAAACAAATTGCCATGCCACGAAATTCGGTGATAGACCATTTGACGGTACCTCTGCTTCTCATACATGTGAAGTCGATAGCGGAAGGAACCATCACCACCAGCCAGCTAGGCAGAGATAATGCTTCACTAAGCAAAACAATGATATGCATTTATCCTATGTCTTTGTATATAAGATACAACTCTGCATTTGTATAAATGGATGAACTCATAAAATTCTTATACAGATTGTATATGATTATCTTCATTAATTTATAGCAACAAAAAAAAAGTTGGTTTGGTATTTTCTTTGGCTTGAAGAGTATTATATCCCTTTAGATTTCTTCATAAATTATACTTTCGTTATTAGTTCTGCCTATCAAAGTTTTTGGAGTTCCAATAAATTTTACGGAGTCCAATATTTAATAGATCATTGATTGACTCACATAATTTGTTAGAATCAAATCTATTACTGACAATAATATATACAAATTTTGTCAGCTTACGAATAATCATCATGACTCTAAGTCTGACACTAATATTAAGGGTCAAGTCACCAAACATGATTGAGAAAGAGATTCCGAACTCTCTCTCAACTAAATCACTATTCGTCACTTTCTTTAATATGTCTGAAACAATAATCATGATTATTTACTTAAATCAGAAAGAATGAATCGTGTAAAACCATTGTAATTATCATGTTCCTACCAACAAGGATGAATTTGTATTTTCCATAATTCTTTGTAAATAGCAATGCCTGAAATGAGATGAGGAATTGGTGGTGGACCATTTATAGATAGATTATGCATCAACATCAAGTGAGAAATGGACCCAACAGCCAGATAATTTGATGGAAACGACCATCTTAATTCATATGGCTTCTTTTTCTTATCTGTGTTGCCTTGTCGGAAATGAAGCATCTCGCCAAGAGACAATAGGACGATTGTGTTTGCTTTGTTTCCACCGTTAATGCAAAAAAACATGCTTAGGGGGCATGCAGCCTAACGTCGACATTAGGCATGCTACAACTTTACTTGCTTCTGCATTTTTGAGTGACAATTTAGGTTTCCTACTTAATGTTCAATACGATAATAATTCATAATGTTTAGGGAAAGAGATAATTATCAAACAAGTATCAAGTACTTTTAAGATTACTTTAACATATCATTTACACATAATTTATAAATACAATAATTAATAATTTATCATTGCTATTAATACATTAAATAAAAGTATATGTAACCCTTAACATGTTATCACTTATAATCCAATTAAGGGCGCTTAATAAGAGTTGAGCAATTCGAACTTTACTCAATCAAAATTCGATCAATGCTTAATTCAAGTTAACTCAAATAGATTTACGATTTGTTAAACTTTTATACATTTTTAGTAGTTACACTACAAAAGTTATTCCACTACAAAAAAGAAATTCTGATTAATAATTACTAATTTGCTAGTATATGATAAGAAATATGTTAAATTACTAATTTGCTAGTATATAATAAGAAATATGTTAAATTACTAATTAACAATTATTATTTGTGGATTATTATTTTGGTTGTAATATGTTAATTTTGTGTATTTATGCATTGTATCTTGAATTTTAGACTTTAAAATTGCTTCATACATTTTTTTTTATTAAATTTGTTAATTCATTTTATATTAAGCTCTATATAGCACTATTAGATTTTACGTATAGTTAAAAAAAGGTAAATTTTTTGACGAGCTCAATAAACAATGAATCGAGCAATAATTTTTTTAACAAACACGAGTTTAACATCTCTCAACTCGTGATCAACTCCTTCAATAAACACCCTAAACCCAATCTTCAAACCACTTATATATATTATTAATATAGGGTACGTACAAGATATTATATGTTTAAAGATAACTGTCAATATTTTGAGTTTGAACATTCGTACCCGTGACATTCATGATACTTTAAGTCGGAAACTTAAAAAATAACAATGATTACTTTACCATCGAAGTCGTTAGGATTCGTGCTTATTAATTAATTTAAAAAGTTAAAGTAAATGTGTTTTATAGATGTTGTAAAGGTTATATTTTCTCTCCATTTTCTCTTAATGAATAGATATTTCATCATACTTACGTCTTGAACTTTTTATATATAACTATAGAAACTAATATTATAATAAAATTGATCTTTATTGTTTAAAATTTATTATAAATAAATTTTTGAGAATTTTATTTTGAAGTTTTTTTAATTAAAATATGTATTTTATAAAATTATTTTAATTAATTATAAACAAAATTTAGAAATTTTGACCACTAGAATTCAACAAATAATCAATTTAGTGGGATATATGAAGTAGGTCATATAATCTAACATATTTGTTGATATGATTAAATTTTATAAGATGATTAATTTAAGAAAATAAACATGATAAATACGGATGATTTATTTTAAGAGATTTTTATTTGTTGCTTCATATCTTGTTCTATGGGATCTTGGATTCCACTCGTACGAAAATTCGTGTGCGGTAACATAAAGCAATATAGTCGGCAAAACTGTCGGATTTTGCTAACAAGGGGAAGAAAAAGTAGAAACAACGCGCGGCAATGCTGACCATTTCTGAAAATGAAAGGGGTAAACTAAAATCATTAAATTGCCGTGCTTTAACGGCAATGTTTTGTTTTTGGAACGAAGAACCGTATTCCAGCCGTCAAGCTTCGCTTTTTTATTTTGACTATATGCGTTTCTCATTTGCCGTGCTTTAATGATAATATTTAGTATTTTATAACCAATTGATATTTTATTTATTAGGGTAAACTATACTTATAGTCACTGGTTTCTAGGATATTCTACTTTGGTCATTAAACCTTTAAAATTTATACTATAGTCATTAAATTTTTATTTCACTTTCATTATGGTTATTGTCTTTTAACTGTCATTAAAAGCTGCTTATGTGGCACGTTAAAACTGTTTTATATAAAAATATTCTAAGGTTCTAAATTTGCTACCAGCTCCAAGGTTAAATTTTCGATGAACGGAATGGTCGATGGAAAGAAAAAGAAAAAAAATAGGAGATTGAAAAGTTTTTTGATGAGTTTGAATCAAATGAAAGAAATAGAAAAGGAAGATGATGATGAATAGTTTATTGATCTTTTCAATCATAGAAACCATCGAACAATGATAAAAATGACAACGAAAGGAGGCATCGATCTAATAAAAAATAAAAGCTATTTTTTAATCCATCATTATTAACTTTCAAATCAATTTAAATTCGAACTATGTTAATTTTTTATTCAAACAGAGCCTTCCTACGGTTAAAATTATCCGAATACCTCTCTATTCATCAAAAACTTAATATATGTAACATTTAACAATTTGGAAAAAAATATTAAGAAGAAGACCTTAATGTGACATATTAATATTTCTTAACGGTGATGAACGCGATAAAAACAAGTTAAAAAGTTTAACGATTATAATAGGTCAATATTTTGACGAATGGAATTGTCGCTTATCAATCTCAATGGTGTGAAGGATCCGCTTGGTCAAAAGTTTAACATAATTCGATTTCAAATTGATTAAAATTATAATGGTGAATCAAAAGGTTTTAGCTTTTAGTTTCTATTGGAATGTCGCCTTCTTTCGTCGTCGTTTATGTCGCCATTTGGTGGTTTCTTTCATAAAAAAGATCACCAAACTACCCATCCTTTTATTTTATTTGATTCTAACTCATCGAACTTTCTTTCGATTTCCTCAAATGTCAGTTAAAATTAAAAGTTAAAACCTTTTGATCTATCACTATCCACCATTGAATCAATTTGAAATCAAATTATGTTAATCTTTTGGCCAAATGAACGTTTCACGTTATTAAGATTATTAACGATCGCTTTGCTCATTAGAAATTTAGCTTATGACTAAAAATTTAGAAGCTTTGGGTCTTTTGGAGAAAATAATTTAACATGTTATCTTAGTATTTCTTAATGGTAACGACAATAATGAAAACGAATTAAAATTTTATTGATTATATTACAAATATTAAAAGTTTAGTAACTTTAATACAAATTTCAAAAGTGTAGTGACCAAATTGAAAGTAAACTAAAAGTTTACTGATTACTATTAAATTTACCCTAAAATGAAATACTTAATTACAAATTTTCGTGATAAGGAGAAAAATGTAGTACTAAACACAGTGGTCGTTGCTTGGAAACATACAGCTGGCACGGCAGCCCATTTGTACCCGTTGATTTTCGTAATATACTGAACGTTTTTGGTTGGTAGAGCTGACGTGTGGCTATGACCTATTGAAAAAAAAAAATCCAGCCGACGGACTTTTTATAAATCAAAATACGACAATAGCCTCCGCTATTCATAATAATATCTCCATTCTTGCTCAATGATTGTCCTCCACGTATGTATTCTGTGATGGAATACTAGTGACAGGCGGTGGGATAATCAACACTCTCATCCACGACTACCACACAAAATAAAATAAGAGATAATACCACATATTTCAAAGGCGAAATTTCAAACAAAGATCAAATACAATACGCGTTGGAAGGTTTCATAGAAATTTCCCGGTCACGAAGTACTAAATCAGGTACGATTTCCTCTTTTGATTTTATTTGCGTTTATTTTTCCTAAGATTGTTTCAATTATCTCTTCTCTATGTGCGATTGAGAAGAAACGCAATTTTTTTTTTCATTTTTTCTGTAGAAGATTGTTTTGTTTAGGTTATGATTTACTTCTGCTCATTTCTTTTTAATTAACCGATCTTTGTGCGATTCTGAAGAAACATAATTTCTTCCCAAAATTTTGTAGTTGAAGACTCTTAGTTTTAGGTTGTGATTTTTAAGCTTCAGTTCCTAACAAAGCCCTATCAATCTGTTGATAATTTTCTACTTCTGTTCGGATTTAAGGATCTAATACCAGGTAAGGATTTATATATTTAATTGGTTTATATACTTTTAGATTTATTTGGCTTCATTT